ACTAAAGGTAGTTTTTATATACATAGCATTAAATAATGATGTAATTGGTTGATGAATTACAGCAGTAATATTATTAGAAAATATAATTTACTCAAGTAAAATGACTATTTTTTAATTGAAAAGGTTGACTAAACATAGAATATTCTAGAAGATTGTTCATAATGTTTATTACCAATCAAGAGCTTTTAAAAATACACGAATTCCAAAATATCTTGTTGAGTGATTTTAAAATAGTCACAGAAGTTTTTGTGGTTTTTTTAATTTTCTACTTGCTTTTGCTATTCGAACAAAATTATTTTTGCTTATTTTCTATTTGCTAAAAATTTGCAAAAATACAAAATCTTTTACATTTTATGTTAATTCCATTCAGTTTATAATATTTTTAAAACAAAAAGTTAAGAAAAAATGGCTAATAAAAAATAATAGAGTCAATAACCTTGTGCAGAGAAGTAATAGAAGTCTCATAACCTAACTTAATCACAGACAGAAACCTAACTTAATCACAAAGATAACCTAACTTAATCACAGAGAGAAACCTTGAAAAACTTTAAATCAAATAATCTTGTCATCAAAAAAAAAAGGCTGATATATTGTCTGATAAAAAAACTGATATTTGGTTCTTCTTAACTTGAGTGATTATAAAAACAATATTAAAGATTTGCTATTGATGAAAAAAAACTTAAAATATAAAAAATCTTAAGAGAATCTTTAATATTATACAAGAGGACTTTTACAATGTTACTATCTCTTTTCAGAAAAACTGAATGTGCTAGGAATTATATATGAGCTGCCAGTTTGAGCCTTCAAATGGCTCCCAAATTCCATTGAATAATTCAGGCACATCATTGCAAAAGAATTTACCATCATCATTATGACCATCCCTAAAATATAAATAGATTTAAAAAAGGTTCATGTCATTTTTTTTGATTTTCTCCTTAACCTGGTTCCACTACTTTATTCTGGAGATAAAAAGTCGAGATAAATATTTCTGCATTAGAAGCAGTCAAATCTATATATAAAACTGGCATAGCAAATTCAATTTTGTGGGCTTAACAGACCTTTACTCGAGCTTCAATATATAAAAGTTCATTACAAGCCAGGAACAGAAGAAAATATTTTTTTGTTAAAACGTGTAACTAATAAAAAAAAAAAAAAATCGAACCTTTTCATAGAATTCATTCCTGATGGTCTCAATATTTTATTATTTGAAAAAATAGCTTGAGTAGGAGAACTTCTATTTTCATCATATTCATCTAAGAATAATTTGTTAATAATAATAGTTCACATAAAATAAAATATACTTTTTCTGTTACATAAAAGTAAATATAATGTAAAGTAAAAATAAAACTATTTGATTTATTTTTAATTTTTACCTGAAAAAGATGGCTTTTTCTGATTGGCTTCTGTAATGGCAAGGTCATCAGGAGCAATTTTTCGATTTATTGTTTCTATAACAACAATCAAAATTTTAATAATTTAATATAAACATTTTATTTATTTCATTAGCTGCAAAGGGCAAATGGTTACTGAGTAGTTAACTACTCTTGCAGGTAAAACCAATTTACAATTACAATGTTTTAATTTTTAAAAGTTTTTAAAAGTTTTATTGCATACAATTTTTTTACTAAATTTGTTTGTCCAAGTTAGGATGACACAATCGGTAAAAAAAAATTGAATATAAAAAATGTGAATTTGTATATATGTATATATAGAAATATATATAGAAATGTATATATATACAAAACTATTTTTTTATAGGATGTTTCCATAGCACTGCTCTTTTATATGCTGTTTTTATAAGTTGCTTCTGACAACCTTTTTTCAAAAACAGATTTTAAATAGAATTTTCCAGATGATATTTCAGACGATAATGTACTAGCAAAAACAATTAGAAAACTAAATTTTCATTTGATTTAGAAAATGCAGATGTGTGATAAATTTTGAAACATTTTTTAACATGACACCAAGATCAATTCAACTTAATCAACAATATTTTCTAACATTTTTTAATTAAACAACAGTTATAACTAAATAAAAAAAAAAATTTAATTTTTTTTTAAAAATAATAAAAAAGACAACTAGTATTTGATAAAACTTTTTTATTTTTGAAAAAGATTTTTTTGTCCAATATTTAGGATAAAATTCTAAAGATATTATTTAAAGAATTATTTACTGTTATAATTCAGTACTAACTAATCTATTTTGAGGCTTGTTTCAAAAATTTCGATAAATAAAAACTTTACTTAAAAATTTTCGATTTAAAAGTTTTTGAAACAATTTTCTTAGAAATATTAAAAAAAAATATATATATATATAAAAGTATATACATATAAAAAAATTATTCACCTTTTACACCAGTAAATTGTGACATTAATATTTTTCTTAACTCTGCAATCAATACTTGTTTCACTTCAAGATTTGGTGCCTAAATTAAAATATAAAATTTCTGTCAATTTCGATTTAATATTTTTGCTTTGTTTTCACTTATTAAACTAATTTTGTGTGAGCACATACATAAACTTGTGTGTGTGTGTGAGCAAAAAAAAATTTTTTTTATCATAATATATATGCTTCTCATAAATGTGCTTCTTATATATATGAAGCACATTTATTAGCAAGTAGAGAGATTATTAAAAAATGATGAAGAAGAGATTATTAAAAAAGGAGAAGAATCAGATTAACCCAAAAACAACTTTTTTTCATTAACCTTACAAGACTGAGGGAGCAATAACAGTTGAGAAGACTGTTGTTGCCCCCTCATTACTCTTTTTTTAAATATAAATTATTATTAAAACACAAAGTCAACTCCAAATCACAAACCCTGATGAATAAAGTGCAAAAATTGGTAACTGGTCCCTAGTAGTTGTGAATACTACTACCAGGGACCAGTGTTGGGATCAGATATGTATTTGTATTTGGTAAAAATGGTGTATTTGTATTCATATTGTATCTGATAAAAACATTCTATAAAAATTTGTATTTGATTGAAATGCAGTTTTAATTAAATATAAATTTTGATTGAAATTCAGTTTATTTGCAGTTCCATACTAGGTTTAGGTAACCAGTGTTTTATTTTTTTTGAAATACGAAGAAGCTGATGGTTTTTTTTTTCATTTTTAACACTAAAATTTAAGTAAAATATGTTTTTAAGGGATATTTGTTTTTAAAGGGATATTTGTTTTTAAAGGGATATTTGTTTTTAAAGGGATATTTGTTTTTAAAGGGATATTTGTTTTTAAGGGATATTTGTTTTTAAAGGGATATTTGTTTTTATTTGTTAAACTGATAGCTTAAACCAAAAAAATATCAATTTAAAAATATAAAACTAATTTTTTGTTAAACATATTAAAACCAATTGAAGTTGCACTAGATAAGTTGCAAAGATAAGAAACACTATTAAAATTTTGATAGTTGATAAACATGTTATCATTTTATCAACTAAAAAAATAAATAAATATTGGATATCTTCAGACTGTCAGTAATGCTCATTTCCTTGCAAACACGCTAGATCCTAGATATTTTGGATCTAATTTTTCTGAAAATGAAAATGAAGCTACAATTATTACCAATAGTATTTAAGTTGAAAGCCAAATCTGCTCCATTTGATAAAAGCTATTTGTAGAGTGAATCTGTGTTTGAAAATGTATCACCAAAAGAATGGTGGAAATTTCTAAAATTGTTGGACTGTAACATTATCATAAAGGTTTTTTAAACCAGCTTCTAGTGCTGGAGATAAGAGAATTTTTTCAACTTTTAGACATGTTCATTCCAAGTTAAGAAACAAGATGGGAGTAGAAAAAGTGGCAAAGGTAGTTTTTATATACATAGCATTAAATAATGATGTAATTGGTTGATGAATTACAGCAGTAATATTATTAGAAAATATAATTTACTCAAGTAAAATGACTACTTTTTAATTAAAAAAGTTGACTAAACATAGTTTTGAAAAAAAATGAATTTTTGAATTTTTTGATTTTTTTTTCAAAATAAATGATTTTTTTAGCAACCCTGTTTTTTAGAAGACTTGTTTTCATTCTTCTATATAGTAGATCATTTTATCAGTCTTGTCTTGAAAAAATCTTCATATTTTTTTTTGACCTAAAGTTCAAATATTAGTATTTGTATTTAAAAAATGCTGATTGTATATATTTGTATTTGGAAATCTAAAATTAACGTATTTTTATTTGGCCAAACTTATTTGACTCTAGCCCTGGCAGGGACAACTAGTCAGGAGCAATAAAAAAAACAAACAAACAAAAAAAAAAACAATTAGAAAATTAAAAAAAAGAATTGCATTAAGCTTCAAAACTATAAAATGTTTAATAAAAAATCCAATTATAGTTTAAAAAAGACTTATATTTTACATTGTATGTGTATACATTGACACAAACATTTAAATTTATTTTTGTATACACATAACACTTTGGAAAGTTCAACCTGCAATGTATAAACTTCGTTTCTTCTCTGCACCCAGATTTCTAATTTGCATTCATGCCCTTTTACTGTCTCTGTGACTCCTATTTCTGCAGTCTAAAAAATTTTATAAAATTACATAACACAATTTAATATAAAAATATTTTACTTTCATATAAAAATATAATTATATATTATATAAACTAATATATATATATATATATATATATATATATATATATATATATATATATATATATATATATATATATATATATATATATATATATATATAAATATATATATATATATATATATATATATATATATATATATATATATATATATATATATATATATATATATATATATATATATATATATATATATATATATATATATATATATATATATATATATATATATATATATATATATACACACATACATATGGCAAGAAGCAAGAGCTTTAGCTCTCGCCACGACTAACCTAAATTGGTTTACAGGAGCAATTTACGGCTTTTGCAAAAGTATAATTTTTCTCACAAAAGTATAATAAAAGTTAAACTAAAATAAAAAACACAATGTCATTTAAAAAAAATTAATTGTATAATAGACTGCAATGTTTTTTAAAAAACACGATTGCTGCAAAAACAAAATTAAAATTAAAAAAGAGCGCCGATTTAAACAAGCAGCAGCTCGCACAGCTCCCCAAGTTCGTTTTAGGTGAGCTTTACGATACTAAATCAACTAATATATTTTCTAAAGGAGACTAAAGGAGACTGATGCATTTTTTAAATCAACTAAGTCGACTTAAAGTTGATTTAGTCGAAATATGGGAATAATTTATTTTTTAGTATATTTATACATAACTATAGTTAAATCAAATTGATGTACAACAAATAACAGTCAACATGTGCTGTTACAGAGTCATAAATTAACAAAAAATATCGTAGAAGTTTTTTGCAAGAATACCCACAACATATTGTGGGTATTCAGGCAAAAAATGTTAACTCAAAAAACCTTGTTAAGTGAAATCAATCATTTAAGTTTTTTTCCAACTTGAAGCTTTTATAATCTTATCAAATTACATTTGGCGTTGACATTTAAATACACCATAATGTTAAGTGTTTATTTAAGAAAATACTTATACTTTTTTAATTTAAAAGCTTATAGCCTAAATAAAACACCCGCTTTATGAGTTAACCTTACATGCAATTTTATATCTAGAGAAAAGCTTTTCTCTGGTAATAAAAACACATTTAAACATCTTTAAAGATGTTTCATTCGACTTGTATTTTGCCAGTTTGTAGAGTGTTGTAAACTTTACAATACTGCATTATAAAGTCAACTAATAAAATTTTTTTATTGGTTTATTTTAAAAATTTTTATGGACTATTAGTAGGTTTTTCATAATGCCTTCATAAACCTTTTTATAAAACAAGTTGTTTAAATATTTGCTAAAGTTTCTAAAGTTTTTAATAATATTTGAATACCCACTTTATATTTTCTAGATACTTATCTACTTTTATTAAAGTTTGGAATTACTAATGCTATTTGAACAAATAATGAACTTTAAAAGTATTAAGTGCTTTATAAAAGTAATAACACTATTATAGTTTTATTACTTTTATAATACAGTTAGTGACTAAAGTTACTTTTGTAGTCGTAAGTTTTTTGTTTTGTTTTTTATATATATAACCATTATATATATATATATATATATATATATCTACTATAGTATATTTATATGCGCAATTGCTCACTTTTTTTGCTAGCCTAAATTAAGTGAGCATTTTTAGAAAACGATGAGGGAAAACAAAGAATAATGAATGAAAAGGTTGCTGACCCATACCAAACCCTCAGTCGATGTAGCAGCACTCCACGACGAGTCAGGCTATTTGTCAGTCGATGTATGAACTGAAGCCCCCGGCAGCAGGCTATTTGACGTTAGGTGAGTATGACATCATCACGCTCACCTAACTCAGCAGTATAAGATATATATGTATATGTATATATATATATATATATATATATATATATATATATATATATTTATATATGTGTATATATATGTATATATATATATATTTATATATATATATATATATATATATATATATATATATATATATATATATATATATATATATATATATATATATATATATATATATATATATATATATATATATATGTATATATATAAATTTTAAAACACTTAATTTTTTTAGTGTCCATTTTTATTAACTTTTGTTGATTATTTATGATTAGTTTTGAATACATTATTATACATATAAATTTTTTAATCACTTCGAAATAAAAAATATATTTTTAAAAATGCTCTCTAAACTATTAAATTTCAACACTTTATCTACATTAAAATCTCTAGTTATGTTATCAAATATGTTTTCAAACTTAGTGTGTTCCATAACATATATATCCATAACATATATACTATTTTAACATATATACTCTATAACATATATATATATATATATATATATATATATATATATATATATATATATATATATATATATATATATATATATATATATATATATTATTTTTTTTGTGTAAACTTTTTTTTACAATTCAAATAAGTCTGTGAATGCATTACTTATTTTAGTTTACACACTTCCCCAAGCAGGTGTCATTTCAGTTAAAGAAGCTGAAATTAATAAATTTCCTTCATTTTTATAAAAAATAAGGGAATTATAAAACATGCTATTAAATTATTACAAGAAAAAAAATTGTTTTATCAAAAACAATTTATTTTAGGTATTTAACAAAATTTTCTTCAAGTTTTTTTAATTTTTCTTCAACTTTCTTCTTTAACTTATCTATTGTATTAAGTGATTTTGTGTGTTTTTTTCTTTGCTAAAAAGACTATCAGCAAGTTGTTTAACTATGCTTTTAACCTATTTATCTAATATTTTATGATATTTTTTTAATTTAATGTTTCCTTTTTTTTACAATTTAACTCACTGTCCTCCCATCTTATATACGCCATTTGCAGACCCCCTCGTCCCCTCTGAGTGTACGTACTTTATGGACAATCTTTAAGCAGTCAGTTCAGTTTTTTATCTTTGTTGTTGTAACCATCATCATATTGCTGCATCGCTTTTTTGTTTTTGTCACAAAAATAAAGATTATCAAACATAGAAAATCACTAAGATTATAGTTATTTATAATAAAATGAATTTTAAGAAAATTATACTTATTTTTAAGTAGCAAATTATTATAAATTAAATATATCGTGTCTTTACCATATCCATATGTACAGTACTATTAAGAAAAGTATAAAAAATCCATCTTATAATTATTTGTAGATTAATTAGTAACTGGGGAGGAGCAGGGGTTACAAACTCAGGAGCTGCTATATCTTATCTTAAACAAGGAACAATAGTGATAGCTAATTATGTTTACATATGATGTAAGAACTTAAATCACCATAACTTGCTCATTATAAAAGATTTTGGAATAATTTTTTTAAATAAATAAACTTGATAACAAGAATCGAACAATACTAAAATAAAACCAAAAAGAAAAATATTTGTAATCAAAATCTCTATTTTATTTTATTTTAAAAAAATTATTTATCCAGAATTAAAAACAAGTCCAAAGAGTTCTATAAGAACTATACTCTTTATATTTTTTATTTCAATTTTGAATATAAGCTTTCTTACTCTCTCAAATGCTTAAGAAAAGTCAGTAAAGAGTGGTATTTTTGATCCATATCTAGAGTTTGAAATATTATTTAAAATAGTTAATTACTAATTCATTAATTATTTTAAAATAATTTCTTCTTTAAAATAATTTCTCATAAAATAATGCCAGAGAAATAAATTTAACAAGATAATAGGCTTTTTTATTTAAAAATTTTTTAAATTACTTGATTAAGTATAAATGTGTGTTTAGGTAAATAGTTTGATGTCATACTAAAATAGCATGCTGCTGGGGGTTTCAGTACATGTTTTATCTTTTAACTAAACTTGTGACGTAAGATTTAACCTGAAAAAATATATTGATTATTTTTTTTAATTAAACTATTGTCTAAAAGGTACTGAATGATATTTTAAATATATTTTTATATAATCCTTTCAAAAACTTTACATATAACGAACGAAAGTGAAACAGGGTATAGTAAGAAGGATCCAACTTATAGTAAGAAAGATCCAACAAAGTTTTTAAAAGTTTAAAGAATTTTTTTATTTTTTTTATTCATTGTGCAAGCTGTTGCTTAGAGATTGAAACAAATAATTATATGTTGGGCAAGTAGGGTGAAACACTTACCAGCCAAACTGCAATAACTTTTTAAAAATGAAGATGTACATTGTCATGGAGGAAGTAAACGTTGTTATTCCCTGGACATTTTCCTCATTTTTATTAAAAATTGTTGTAACAATCTATATCAACTTTTTAAATTGAAAACATGAGCATACAAGATATAGTGGTGAACTCCGAGCTTTTCTCTTAGCAAGCAAGGGCTCTATCAATGAACCACTAACCCATTTATTTATTACCACATACCTCATTAAGGTTTAAGCTATTATTTATGTCATTTTATAAAAAATTCCCAACCTGTTAAGGTTTAAATGTTAATGGTTAATGTTCACTGAGCCCAAAAAAAGAAGAAAACTGTATTTTTCAGAAGACAATTTTTATGATTTGTTGCATGTTTAAATTTTTTTTTTTATTAAAGGTTTTTTATGAAAATGTTAAACTCAAGAATCAATATTTTATTTAGTGTCCTTGACTAAAAAATAGACACTATGAAAAGACAAAAAATTAGCCTGATAAAATATTAAGCTTTGATTATTGGATTTAAAACAATAATGTTTTAAATGTCAAATAGGGCTAGAATGTTCTACTTAGAAAAAAAAATTACACTGAATAATCCTAAAGCAATCAGTTTTAATATCAAAAAAAAAAAAAAAAAAAAAAAAAAAAAAAAAAAAAAAAAAGAAAATATTCTAAAAGAATGATCAACTAAAGTAAATATACTACTCAAAAAACTATTTATTTACTTCTCAACATTCTTTTTTCAACATTCAATGTTCATATTCTTTGAACCAAGAAGGTAATGTATAATGAAGCAATAAGAAAAAATGTGCAAGATAATGTATGTTAATATATGATAATTTATGCTTCATAATGTTTTTACTTATCTTCCACGTTAAGGTGTCTAGTAATTTATGAGTTTCTTTTCAATTCTTTGAATGTTCTGCTATAGCTGAATCTTTCTGTATTTTTTTTATGTTGTTAAATGCTAGAAGAGATCTTTTATTTTGCTTTTATTGCAATAATGAAGCGAAACAAAAAATCTCCTTTTTGCAGGAGCTTTGAAAACACCTGTATAAGAATTTATAGATAAAAGTTTATTTTTTGTGGACTAATGCCTTACTAGATCTTTTAAAAATTTTTTTTTTAACTTATATATTTATCCCTTAAATATAAATAATGCGAGAATATTATCATAAACTATTATATTATAATGAATTTATTTTACCTTGAGAAAAAGTTTGCATTGATAGGTTGCCAGAGCTTTATCATTATCATATTCTCTCTTGGAAAAAATTAAACACTTTTCAAAAACAAATATTTGACGCTGTTTACCACCACTTAGTTTAAATTGACTTATTGCATTTTTTTTCCTTTCCCAAACAAGAAAAGAGTCTTGAAGCAAAAGTTTTCCTTGCAAATCTAAATTTCCCTAAATGATAAAAGGTTTTTCAAAATAAAAAAAAAAAAATTTAACTAACTGCCAAAAAAAAGTTTTCATTAAAAAATTTTTTTTTTAATTTTAAAACTTACAGCAAATCCAACTAATCCCGTAGAATGCATGACATCATTCACATAACGCAGCACTTCTTTCATTGTTTGCAAAGCTTCCTTAATTTAAAAAAATTAAAATAGCTCTTTATATGTAAAAGTGCATTAAACACCCTTAATTATGTAGTCATATATTAAACAACCAATTATAAACCATGTAACCATATATTAGTTGATCATGCATCCCAAAATTAATACCATTATAAACGTACTAAATGTAAATATCGATAAAAAAAACTTGTTTTTTTTTTTAATATTTACATTTAGTACGTTATTTTAACTTCTGCTTAAATTTCTCAAAAACAGTTTTATTTATTATTACTTTCTTCATCAGGTAGGTATATAGAAATAAAAGAAACTATGAGATATGTCAATAAAACCTAAAATAAACCTGTTAAGGTTTAAATGTTAATGGTTAATGCTCACTGAGCCCAAAAAAAGAAAACTGTATTTTTCAGAAGACAATTTTTATGATTTGTTACATGTTTAAAAAATTTTTATTAAAAAACTTTTAAACATTTTTTTTTGTAACAAATCATAAAACTTTTTTTTATTAAAAGTTTTTTTATGAAAATGTGTATTTAAATTTTATTGGACAAAAAATTGGAGCATAAAAATAAATTAAAAAAAAAAAAAGTAAAACCATAAAAGTTTGCAGTACCAAATCAAAAAAGTTTAATTGAAAAAATAAATCAACCATATGTTGTTACATATGGTGAGGTCACTATATATAACAACCTGTGATGGAACAATTGTTGATATAAACAAGACATCAAATGACATTGACCTAGTAAAATTATCTAGGTATCAACACAAGTAATAAGCTCAAATGGAATGACCACATAACAATGATAAGAAATAAAGCTTACTCCAAAGTCAAATGGTGTCACCCTGACTTTATAGCTTTTTCATCAACTCTAAATGGTCCATCAATGTGTAATATTGCATAATTAAGAAAAAATTATTAGCTTAAAATAAAAGTTAAATATATAAAAGTTTTTTTATAACTATTTTTTTATAACTTTAAAAATTGTATAAATAATTCATTTTCAAAATTATTGTTTCATTACTTTTTCCAAGTAAAGTAGTTTTGTTTTAAAATTTTAATTTACATTTACATTTAATTTTTATTCAAATATTTTAAATTAAACAAAAAAAGGTGAAAAAAAAAAAAAAGAAAAAAAAAAGAAGCAAAATCTATGTTTAACTCTGAATAAAACTGAGATTTTTCAAACATCCTGCACACAAGTATAATATTTTAAGAAAAATATAATTTTTTTTAATAATATCTTAAATTTTAAAAGTACTAACCAGGTAAAATGAAAAGATTTTACAAAAAAGAATATTTAAAAAAAGCAATATATAGAGAACTCTAATGGAGGAGGAGACTCAACTAGTCCTTTCACGAGAAAGGTTGATTGGTTGATCTACAAATAAAAACTTGCCACAATAACAATCAAGTTGGAAGATTAAAATGAAAACGATGACGAATTTTTGTCAATCAGAGTCTAGGTTTTTTTTTGTTTTAAACAAGATAAAAGTGATGATGAATCGAAGCCAATCAGAGTCTATGTTTGCTTATTTTTAAACAAGATACAAGTGATGATGAATTGAAGTCAATCAGAGATTAGGTTAGGTAGGTTCAATCAGAGATTAGGTTAGATAGGTTTTTTTTTAAAAACAAAGTGCAATAAGACTGCAAACAAATATTTTAGTTTCCAGTTACTAGAAAATAAAAAAAACTTTTTAAAAAAAAGCCTTGTTCAATTTAATTAAAAATAACATAGAAAAGAGTGCAAAAAATTTCTCATTTAAGTTAAATCTTAATGTATTTATAATTAGTATTTAAGAAAGTTCTTTTTTTACTTTTTTTTTTTACGAGATTTTTTTTTATTTTTCTACTGAAAGTACTTTATATTAATTTGTATTGATTTTACTAACATATGTTTAATTTTATTATAAAATTACAAATTTAAAAGGTAATTTTTTTTACTTTAATATCTGCATGAGCCAAATGATTTTCGCTTACATACTTCAACATTTCATTAAGCAACAAACGATACTTTGTGACTCGCTGAACCGGCTTTAATAAATAAGAATCAAGATTTAGCTGGTGCCCAAGCTCTTTTTGACATTCCTGTAAAATATATGAAAACTACACTGACAGAACAAATGATTATAACAAATTATATGTAAAAAGCTTTAAAATAAAAAAATAAAAAAATAATGATAAAAAAAAGATAAAGCAACAGCAAAAAAAAAAACTTAAAAATGCGGTAGTGGTAGTTGTTAAATGCGGTAGTGGTGAGGTGGTTAAATGCTCACTTCATAATCACTTCCCCCACAACCCCCCCCCATGTCCCTGATAGTACCGCACTCAACTTGTTTCTCCACGCAGCGGCCTTGTTTGTCAAGGTTTGTGCTTTGGAGTTATAGAGTTGAGAGAGGGTTATAACCACTATTAAGTAGCCTCCTCATCTGTAATGGCCTTCTTGAACTTGAGGAAATGAATAACAAAAAAAAAAATTTTTAACACTCAGCACAATAATTAAAGCAATATGTCTGAACAATGAAACAACAATGAAACTCATTCAATGCAACAATCAAAAAACACGAAGCAAAAAACACTTAGCACAACACTACTGAACAAAATAATTAACAAAGCATCATTCCAAATAATATTCAATCCAACATTGCATGCAACAGGTAGAACCATTCAATATCACACAAAATACAAATTATCTCTAACGTCATTGTCAAAAGACATTTCAATGTTAACATTTTAAATAAGTTAATGAAATGAAATGAAAATGTAGAAATAAAAAACATAAAAACAAATATAAAAAAATAAAACATAAACTTACAATTAAAAAAGATGTTTGATGTAGCTCTCTTCTTAGTTCTTCTGAGCTTGGTTTATTTTTGCAGTATGTTGCATATAGCTGGAACTCTTCCTTCTAACAGAGTTTTTACAAATTTGAATTAAAGAGAAATAATGAAATAAAACATAAAATCGTTTTAAATCCTGTTATGTTTAAAATAACAAATACAACATTCAAAAAAAATGTATAAAGAATTTTAATAATAAAAACAATAAATATAAGAAAAAAAAAAAAGATTTTTTAAACTTATTTTGGCTGAGTAATTATTTCGTTTGTATAAAAAAAGAAATGTTCAACGTCTAGTGGCAACATTTATTTTTTATAGAAACTGAATTTTGCAAATTTGCAAGGTTGAAGGTTTATTTTAATTATTAAATCACACTTCTTCACTTGATTTCTACCCTGTTTGCACTGACAATATAATTTCTACCCAGTTAATACTGACAATAAAACAACTACTCTGTTTATACTGACAATAAAACTTCTACCCTGTTCATACTGACGATAAAACATATCGTCTTTTAAATGCATATTAAATATGTATGTAAAACCGCAAAAAAACAATAACAAAAGTTTACTTTTCATTATAAAAAGTTTGCTTTGATACAAAACAAGTATATTGATTCATTTTTGTTTTATAAATTTTGTGACTTAAAATTATAAATTATTGAATGGGGAGGGGGTATAAGCATAACTACAAAAAATTTTTAAATAATATAAAAGTTTAATATTATAAAAAAAAAAATTACTTATAAAGTATTTACCTTATTAATAAAAACTTGTCCAGCTAAATAAGGGTTATTCCTACACTTAACTAAGTCTTGCAAGAAGATTCTGAAAATAAATAAAAAAAATTTAAAAAATTAAATTAATTAAAAATTTACATTAGATACAAAAATTGTTAAAGAATAAATAAATTAAAACTAATGTAAATAAAATATAAAATAAATGTAAAGTATAAAATAAAATTTAAGGAAAAGATTTTAAAGTTTATTACTTAATCTTTTTTATAGTATTTTTTTATTTCTATTTATTTCAAATACATACACACACACACGCACACACACACATGCATCTATGCACGCACGCACACACACACACAGATATATATATTAGTGCTGTACCGGATTTCGGCTCCGGCTCCTGCTCCGGCCGAAATCCGGCCATTTTTACAAATCCAGCCCAAATCTGGCTCCGGCAAAAATTTAGCAAATCCGGCATAATTTTAGCCGGAGTTTTGAATTTTGTCAAATATTTATTACATTTTTTTTGCCCGTGTTTACATGTATACCTAATATTTTATTTATAAAAATCAATTTTTTTTGTAATTCTATATTTTATGAACCTCATATTTGTTTTGGTATTTGTATTTATATTTCTTTATAATTTAATAAGCTAAGTCTAATTTAAAACAACAACGCAACAAAAAATTCTGAAGGGAAGACACACGATATTCTAGAATGATGCAGGTATAAAGACTATGATGTCAACCCTAATCAAGTGATTAGATGAGCGTTTTAAAAGCATTGAAAAGAGAAACCTCTTTATATACTGACAAGGCTGGTTGACTCACAATTTAAAACTAAATTCTCCTCATTACAGGCAACACTGACAGCTGAAAAAACAAGATTGAAGTCAATCTGAGCATGCTGAACAGAAGATTGACAAAACTGAAGAAAATCCACCAAAATAAGCCGGGCTTAATAATTTTTCTACATCATCATCATCATTACTCTGGCAATTTATTGATAAAATTATTCAGTCTACGTCCGCTGGTGGCAGGGCATATAAACAACAATTACTAAAAGGCATTGAAACTCAGCTAAGGAAACATCCGAAAGAACCAGAAATAAATAGATACAATGATACAGTGGTGAAATAAATAGATACAATGATACAAAGATACAGTGGCGGAGTGACAAAATCTCGGAAAAAAAGTTCAATAGAATTACTATAAACTTTTAAAACATATGGCCTATAGAATTTCTTTATAATTTCTATTAATTTATATATAGAAATTGCTATAAAACTTTTAAAATAACAACAATGAAGTTTAACAGAAAACAGCAGTCACTTGGTATTCTGAATAGTCCACATTGTTGACCATGCTCAACACCAATTAGGGATGTACAGGATTTTGGCTCCTGTAGTTTTGTTTTGAAATCCGGCTCCGGCTCTGATTCCGGCCGGATCTGTCAGTAGAAATCCGGCAAATCCGGCTCCGGCTGGATTTGAAAAAATTAAATCCGGTACAGCCCTAATATATATATATATATATATATATATATATATATATATATATATATATATATATATATATATATATATATATATATATATATATATATATATATATATATATATATATATATATATATAAAATGAAATTTAGTGTTTAGTGACAAAAATGAAATTTAGTGTTAAGTGACATTTGATATATGTTTATTATTAACTTATTTAAGTAAAAGTATATTTTTCTGACATTTTAGTCCTTATACAATATAAAAACGCAGTTTTTGAGCTAAATACAAGTATTATTTATTCACAGTGTTCTTTTGAAAACAAAACACTCATTTTGGACATCTGTGGTATTTCTGTTGTAAACTCATTAACTCATAAATTACGTTAGCTTGTAACCTTTTAGAGCACTTATTTTTTTAAAGGTAGATGGTAACACATTGTAATATACAACTACAACGTACTAAGTGTGTGTGATGGAATAATAAAGCCACCCCCCCCCCTTCTTTTAATAAAAAAATTTAAACAAAATATTATATGAAAGTTTTTTTTAAATTTATACAAAATAGCATTGCAACCTTATCTCTTTCCCAACCTCATCTATTTACTACAGATAATTTCATGATGTCTGTGTTCCGAAAAAATCTTATTTATTAGTCTTATTTTGTCCATTCAGAAAATGTTTAGCTTTAGTAAGTCTTTAAATTTTTAACAAAAAAAGGCAATTTCTCTAAATGAAAATTTCAATTTCTCTAAGTGAACATGTCTTAACTCTGCAAATTTCAGAAATTTTTCTTGTATCATGTTTTCTATACAACATTGAATTGTTATGGTATTTTGTGAGATTGTCTAGTGTTTCTACAAAAACTTTTGATTTGCAATGTTTCTGTCACAGGTGTAATGCTTATACAGAGTTCTAATTAGTAATGAAACAGCTGTTAAGTTTTTTTAAGTTTTATAAACTAGATAATAAAATCAAATTAAAACTTTTCATTTTGTATTTTGCATAGCACATAAATTGCAAATCAATTTGATATCCTTTATACTTGAGACAATTGATAATTTAAAATCATGCAGCATAGAACATACAACGTCAGACCAACTGTTTCCAACAGTTTTATCATAGCAATAAAAAATAAAATTTTTGAATTAAAAGTATATTAAGGTTAAAAAAATAAAACAGGTATTGCCTGAAATACATATTGGTTTCAAACATTAAGGCTCTTTTTTTTTTTTTTTTTTTGAAATCTGAGCAAATTACCTCACAATTAAAAAAAGATTAGAATCAGAATATTATTGTGTCCATTTTTTTTTTTTTAGGATACAAAAAGTACATCTTTCTTATGAATTAAAATAAAAGTTGAAAAAATTTAAGAAAAAAGTTTTCTCATTATAAAAATTTTATATATATATATATATATATATATATATATATATATATATATATATATATATATATATATATATATATATATATATATATATATATATATATATATATATATTTTAAATATTTTTTTGTGAACCTAATGTTGTTTACTTTATCCAAAAAGATAGTCATGTGACTTACGTTTTTATTATCATTGGTTTAGTTATAAATAACTTGGACAACTGTGTTTTTTACGCTGTAAACATTGGACAAAAGTGGTTGTTTCAAAGCCCCTACTTTTTTAAATGACCAAAGAACTTTAAAACATATATGTGATAGGGTTCACCGGTCATGTATATATGTTTTTTTGTAATGAATTTTTAAATTAAAAAAGTTTAGTACTAAAATATCATAAAAATATATACAACTTGAAACTTTAAAAAAGTGGACATCTGTAGTTATACCTGTGTGGCCTTTATATATATATGATATTAGATGGTTGGCGTATCTTAATTTATTTGGTGTTTGACTAATGCCAGAATACACTTGTCTAAGTAATGGTTATTCCTTTACTTAACTAAGCCTTAGATTATCTTATAGTGTATTTTGGAATCGGTTAAACACCATTTAAAAGTTTAAATATTTTGAACAATTAAATACTTCAAAGTAGTTAAAATTTTTTACAAATAACATTCATAATCTGAATAAAATAAAGTAAAAAAAAGAACAACATAAACATATAAACAAATTATATATAACACAAATATAAAAAAACTAAATCAAACAACTTGCTTGCTATGAAAGTTATAAATTTCCTCAATGTTTCCAAAGACAATGTGCTTCTGTGAACGAATATGATCAGGGATATCATATTTAGGATCATCAAATGATTTAAAATAGCTCTAGCAAGATTAAAAAACATTTTAAAACTAAATAAAACGAAACCTTAAAAATTTGTTTATTATAAAATTGCAAGTACCTGCATCACAACAGCTAAATCATTAACATAATCAACTTCTGTGTTAACAAGTTCTGTAACTACATGACGTATTTTTACACGGTTTTCAGGATCTTCTTCAGACTCTGCTTCTTCCAGCTAGTCATTGTAAATCATATATAAATCTTTAAATGAATTAACAAATATTTTTTTTCTACACTTTTATCTGCATTTTTATTTACAATTAAAGGCATTTGCAACCCTCGTAATTAGGACATATGAGTTCGACAATAATTTGTTAACCTCAATCTTTTAAAGGTCGGCAAAAAAAATTTGATAAAAAGGTCTTACCATAAAACATAGAAATAAGGTCGGCAATTTTTTGCCAACCTCAAACACTTTAAGGTTGGCAGGTAGGTCGAAATTGCCGAATGGCGATCCTAATTCACAATGCAGTGGCCTAGAGCAGTCTAGAGCGCTTGCTTCAAAACCAAGAGTCTTGAGTTTCAATGCTAACTCAGGTCGTATTAGGCATTGATGACTCTGGCCATATTAGCAATATTAGTAGGGAAAGAGAAGTGAAATTCCTCGCGAAATGCTCTTCTACAATAATGTGACAAATTCAACAAATCTCCTTAGAAGGCCTAATGGCTTTGTCACTTTAGCAACCAGAAGAAAAAAAAGTAAAAAAACATTTTGTTGGAAATAAGATTATTGATAAAACTAGATGTTTTCAGGGTAACAATTTCTTTTCTACGACCCATCTTAAATAATTTATAAAACTATAAAAAAATGATGTATTCTTTTGTAGCAAACTTGGTCTAATTTAAGTTAATTATCTTTATTTTAACTTAAAGTTATTTTAACTTAAAGTTAAAAATTTTTTAATTTAAAATTTTTTAATTCTATTTTAATTTAATTTAATCTTTAAATTTTAAGTTTATTAAATCACATTTATATATAAACAAAAACCAATTAAAAATTTATATCTTTATAATAATTTATATGCATTACTAATGACAATGCAGAATCAATGCCTTTTAGAGAGAATAACTTTGCTCCAAGGTCTGGTTTAAAGTAATTCTCCAATAAACATTGAATTCAAGAATAAATTCCTAATACCAATTTTTGTCCTTGGTTCACCTTGGTACAGGTGTACCAAGGACATATTACAATAATAAGTGCACTTGGTAACTGCACTTATTATTGTAATATCATTCTAATTTAAAGATCACAAAAAATATAATTTAAAGATCACACAAAACATAATTTAAAGATAACAAAAATATTAAAGATCACACAAAAACATAATTTAAAATCACAAAAAAACATAATTTAAACATCACACAAAAACATAATTTAAAATCACACAAAAACATAATTTAAAATCACACAAAAACATAATTTAAAGATCACACAAAAACATAATTGCTAAATTTTCTCAAAATTAATGTAAATAACTTTATTTACATAGTTTATCAAACCAGATATTGTTATAAAAAAGAAAAACTATGCAGAATCATTTAACTAATAATAGACATGATAAAAAACAAAAAAAGCATAAAAAAGGAAACATGATGTCATAATAATGTCATAAGAACAAAATAGCTTAAATGATTTTTGTTCATGTCTCAACAAATAATTTGTTCTGGTAAGTTTAAATTATTCTAAACTTACCAGAATTATTTAGAAATTAAGATAAACCTTAGAAATTAAATCTAATTTTTAATTTCTAAGGTTTATCTAAAATAGAAACACAACTTATTTCAATACTTATTTTTTATTACAACTTATTTTTATACTTGGAGAAGAATGTTAGCCAAGGAACCTTTCTTTACAACCATTAACCAACGACCCTCATTTAACCTTTTAAAACTCTTTTATTTGCTTTTTGACTGAGAAAATAATAAAGTAATTTTTTATTTCATTTTATTACCTCTGATGGTGATGAAACAGGTCTTTTAACTGATTTGCGCAATGATTTTCTAAATGTATTTCTTTTGAACTGCTCAATGTCATCCATGACTACAACCTTGATTTCATTTTTATCAAACACCGGAGAATTTGGAATATGGGATTTTTTCCTATTCAAATCATCCGATACTTTAGTCTTGATTTCGTCAGGTTGTTTCAAATCCAAATTAAGGTCCTTTTCTTTAGATTTGTTAACTGCTGGCTGACTTGGTGCTGGTTGTTCAGGTACTAATGCCTTAACTAGTTGTACTGGTCGCACAGGTTTAATCACTTTCTTCAAACTAAAGCAAATAATCTGGAACAATTTTATAAAACGTTCAAATACTAGTAGTTTTTATTTAAAAATACAACTTAGATTGCATATATTAATATAACGGATAAATATATTATTAATAATATTATTATTTCTAACTGGTCTAAGTAGCTCTAATTTAGTAACAATTTTCAAATAAATAACAATTTTTTTTAAACTTTTTAACATGTTTTATCAATATCGATTGACATCATCAGGTATAAAAAATTAGTTACAATTTCTGTATATAAACAATTTTTTTGGCTACATTAAATAATTTCTGAATTATCTTTTGTTTGATATTAATTATTTTACACCTTTTGTATTATCTTTTGTAAAATTTAATGGTAATTATTTATTTTATGTAACTATGGTAACTATTGTAAAAACTATTAAATTTTTGATGTAGCCAAAAAATTTGTTTACATAGAAATTGTAACTAATTTTTTATACTTGATGATGTGAATTTATATTGATGAAACATGTTGTTAATAAGCTTAAAAAAAAATTGTTATTTATTTGAAAATTATTATTATTATATATTAATATATTACTGAATAACTTAGATGCATGCATTAATATAAATGGTAAAATTTCTCACCTTGCTTCTCTTCTCTCTAACATTAACTTTACTTCAGCCATACGTTTTAATGCCTGCTCTACTTTTTCATAAAGAAATTTGTTTTGTAGTTTCGCACACAATGTATTAATCTGATTCATTTTTTTCAAATTAATTCCTTGTCCATCTTTCATAAACGACTCAACTTCATTAAAGCATTTAGAAGCAAGATCTTCATTAGTAAAACATTCAGCAGGTTGTGCAGCCAGCAGGTCAACACCTGCCTGACACCATGCATGTAGCTAAATGAAAAAAACTCTTTTATACAAGAATCTAAAAATAAAATTATTTTTAGGACTAGTCCATCAGTAACATATTTTAAGCGACTTTTGACCCCTTTCTTTATTTTCATCTAAAACACCTCAAAAAAAACCCTCCCTACTGTTGAACATTATGTTACAAAGTTCTGACCCCCCTTCCTCCCTGGATAATTATCAGATTATTTTATTTTAAGGTAACTAAACACAAATGAATTTCCAAATCACAATTGCTGTCATGTATTTGTTATTTAATAACGAAATAAATCAGACCAACCTGTAATAAAAGTAAATAAAATAAACTCAATGTTTTCAACAAAAATAAACTATTTATAACAATTAAATCTAATTTGAGTTTTATTTATTTGAACATATAAAACGTAAAATTAAAATTAAAAAACAAAATTAATATTCTTCACCTTCTAAAGGACTAAAAATTATTGTTTGTAATAAAATTTTTTGTTGTTATAAATTTTACTTTGAGTTACTGAAATGTAAGTGAAATTTAATTACTATAAGTCAGGTTCAGATTGGTTAGGCTATAGATTATCACGATCACCCTGATACTAGTAACTTGTAGCACTACCTACCTCCTGCTTGACAAGTAGAATTTTCTTGGCAAAGGCTAGATGAATCTAACTAAAATAACCTTGCTTTGGGGTTCTTGGTTGAGCAAAAGCTAAAAAATGTCTCATTAAAAAGTATTCATCTTGAGCAGATAATAACAGCTAATGTAATTTCTGAAGGATTTTTAGGCAAAGAATTTAGGGGTAAGCAGATGAACTCCATTGACCAGTCTAAGACCCCTTCTTTGTCTTATAGACTAACATAGACTTAAACATAAATGTAGACTGTCGCTGTACTCAACAAGCATCAGTAACACATTTATTTTTTAACAGCAGTCAACCCAATCGAAACACAAGATTTGTCATCTTGATGCAAAACACTTAATTCATTAAATAGCATTAGCATTCAGAGATAGGTGCACTTCTGGATTAACTTTAAACATAGCTCAATTTTCTTTTCTTTGATTCTCTTAATTTTATGTTTGTTTCTGGTTACCTTGCTTCTTCTATAAGTAGCTGTTCTATATTTTCTTTTTTCAATTCGCGATTCTTGTAAATGCAATTTCTCCACAAATAGATGTCCACACAAAGCAAAAACAAGTTCTATAACTTGTCAATACTTTGAAGTAATAAAATTAATAATGACTCTGGGTTTTGATATTTTAGTATTGTAATGTAATTTTTGTAATGTTATTTTAGTAACTCTTAGTTACTTTCTGACTTTTGTCATTGGTTTACATCTTATTCACATTAATGATTCATAATATATGGTTGGTTTGTTCTAGTACTACTTTATTGTAAAATAAAAAATAAGTCCTGGATTCTTTTTTTCTATTAGCTCATTTTAAAAATTAAAAAAAAAAAAAACCCACTATAATTCATTTCTAAAACACTTTCAGTTTTTTATTGGATGGGGCCAGTACAATAAAAAATTTAATTTATAATTATACTAAACCAAACAAAATTTAATTTAAATACATTTTATTGAAACATTTTATGAAAAAATTTAAAAATAAAAATAGAAGAAAATCATTTTCTGATTATATAAACTTAAATATTAAATTTTCAAAATAAAGAAAAAAAATTAAAATGAATATAGAGAAAGAAACACTATTAAAACATAAAAACTAGTCAATTCAGTGCATTATCTAACACAGGTAAATTATTACTTTATCCAAACACATAAAGACATCTAGAGACACTTGCAGTAAATTCCTTCGCACTTCTAACTTAGATTCAAACTCATGGCATAGATTTTGCATTTCAATATTGCATTGTTTCACTGAATGATGAGCAAATGGCAAAAAAACAACAAGTATGGCAATTCCCTTTTCTTTAAGCTTCATCATCTCTTCATAGGGCTCCTATAAAAAGGTTAATAAATATACAAAATATACTGTCTAATAATATATTGGTAATTCTTATAACTAAAATATTTAATTTTTTTATATATATAATTAATAATCATTATATATAATTATTTAAATTATCATTTAAAATAGTTATACAAAAAATTACATTTGTTTATTTACTTTATAGAAAACAAAAGTGCTTTTAAAACTATTTTTTAACACGTTATATATATGATAAACATTTGTTTAAATATCTTATTGCCTGAACAATGTTTATATTCAATTTTTAACATTTCCCTGTTTAAACATTTCATTTCATAACATTAATTGAATGACATGTCAGGCAAGACTAAAATTCAGTAAATAGAATAAAAGATAAATCTGCAATGAAAAGCATAATTAAGGCTGCTAGAAGACCCTATTCAATGAATTTTGAATGCAATGAATTTTTTCACATCGTCCAAAAAGAAATCACTCAAAAATTAGACAAATACATAACATAAATACAACTACAGCTTTGTTTGAGTTAAAAATTAAAAACCTAAAAGCTAAATACTCAAAAGAAATAACATAGGAAAAATTAGATATTTCAAACAAACAAAAAGCGTTATAAATAACATTTCAAATAAATAATGTACTGCTGCACAGAGAAATTCTTTGTAAATTAAAACCAAGCATTTCTAAGGTAAAACAATTGCAATTTTCAAGACAAAAAAAAAATATGTTGTTACCAGCATTTTTTGTATAAAGACATTTCAAAGGCAGTTTCATTTTTTTTATTTTACCTCCTAATAAATATTTTGAAATCATTACAAAAACTAAATAATATGTAAACAGATTATTTATAACATTTTATTACATAATACTACATTATTATATAATAAAATGTTTATTATGATCTCATAAACAATTGTTTATAACATCAACAAAATAACTTTTTTTTTTTAATAGTTTTTTTAATAGTATTTTTTTATATATTTAATTTTTTAAAGATTTTAACAACAAACAAGATTTTAACAACAAACAAGATTTTAACAACAAACAAGATTTTAACAACAAACAAGATTTTAACAACAAACAAGATTTTATCAATAAACAATATTAAAAATAAAAGATTACTAATAGACAAGCACATAACAACTCAATGAACATGTTAAATAACTCTCTTAAAAATATCATCTATCAGAATTTTTATTATGAAGTAAATATTGGTAATTAATCTTAAATCTTATTAATTTAAATATTAATTTATATTAATAATATTAATAATTAAATATTAATTTCATAAAAATTAATAATCTCAATCTTAATTATGTCCGCTATTATGAATAAATATTATCCTAATATTAATATTTATATTATAAATATATCTATTTTATTTATATTAATATTTATAATAAGCAAAAACATACCTTCCTTTTATTTTCAAAATCATTTAATTCTTCTAAAAGATCTTTGGCACTACTAAGTGAATCTCCAATATCTGTTCGTGACTCCAAGATTTCAGTAATTTGCTTTAATTTCTTTGCGGTCTGAAACAATAACAGTAAACTACAATATAATTAAAAAAAAAGTTTTTGAATATTTTTTTTTTTCATTTTTTAAAAAATTCATTTAAATTTTTTTTTTTTTAAATTTAATTTTTTTTTATTTAATAATTTTGGCAGATAATTCTTTATTAATGGTGAATCATCTAACAAAACATTATAATTGAAAAAAAAAAAAACTTGTAAAATAACATACTGTGTTAAAAGAGAGTTCAAACTGACAAACTTCTTTAGCTTGTTCAAGGTACGTTTTTTGTTTATTCCAAAGGTTTTGCAAATACTGACTAAGAAATTGAAGGCGCTCTGAGCATACTTGCAACTGCGCTGAATTATATTTTTCTAACAAACTTTGCTCTTGTTGTAAGACACTGTATGGTTTATTAACAATTGGTTCTAATGTGTTAAAAATTTCAACTGTGCATCTTAAATCGTCTGAAACGTCATCCACATATTGCTCTTGTTGTTTATATAAACTTTCAACTTCTTCAACACTTGATAAAGATCTTTTCTTATTAAACAAATTGTATACCTCTTTTACGTGATTACCCAATTTAAGACATGTCTTTTGAAATCGTTCAATAGCCTAAACAAATAATCTTGTAATATATATGTGTATATATATATGTGTATATATATATATATATAAATATATATATATATAAAATTCATGCACGCGTGGTAAAGATGGCGGAGTTATAGATAGAATTGTAAATAAGAAAAAGTTTATCAAATAAAGTAATATATCTTTACATGACAGCAATTAGGAGGAAAAAATATTTATAGAAAAAGAAAAAGACTAAAAAAAAAAAAAAGACTAAAAAGTAAATAAAAAATATATATTGGAAAATTAATTAGAAAACCAAAGTACTTAAAGTTTAGAGATGTGTAAGAACTTCATAGACTCAAATAAATATAATTAAAGAACAAGATACATTACAAAATTAATAAACTAAGAGAAAGTATAGAAAGAAACAAGTTAATGAAAGAAAAAGATCAAGAGTTTTTTACATTTGTTTTGATTATTTTTTGCTTTAAATATTTTTTTTTTTTTTTATTTTTAATTTTTTTTTTAATTCACCTCCTCAAGGCCGAGAAGGCCACTACAGACGAGGAGGCTATTTATTTGTGGTTATATTTGTAAATTTAAGTATTTTCCAGGATTTATTTTTATTATTGACTTTTTGATTATTATTATTATTAGCAATTATCATTGTTATTACTATTATAATTAAATATTTATCATTATTATTAAATAATATAGCATTATTTATCCTATATTTATCCATTATTTACCTCTTATTACAATTTACATCTTCTTTATTTATCTTATAGAAATGTTATTTACCTAATATTACTACTTATCTCCTTCTTTACTTATTATTACTTACCTTATTATCATCAAATTATTTAAATAACATATATTATTTATATTATACTATGTCTAAAGCTACTAGAGGTATTAATATATCTAAATTTATATTTTAAATCAAGTTAATAATATTTTAATTTGTGTAATACTTATTCTCCTGTGAAAAGTATTTAAAACTCTTATATCTTACTATCATTTCTTTATAACTGATCATTCCTCAGTATTTAAAATAGCAACCATTTCTTAGTTTTAATCTCTCAGTTTCTTTATAAATATATAGTAGATATCTTTATTTAATTATTTTTTCTCTATACTTTGTTTAAGCATAATAAGTCATGTTAATAAAAAATCTTTGTAAATTCTGCAATAAAACAGTGGTCTTCTTGGTTGCACCCTAAATGTAATTATATTAACAAACACACCTATAGCCTTATTGAAAAAGATTCTACTGACTGGTACTGCAGTGACTGCATCAACAAAAATTTGCCATTTTGTTCACTTTCTGATTTTGAGCTCTCTTTAACTTTATCGTCTCAGACTCTCGTACCAACCAATAATTTAAATCTCTAAAATCTCCCCCTCACTTCAAAAAATTATTCAATAATATAAACAAAATCTCCAACAAAAGTATTAACTGTAAATATTGTGACATTCTTGAACTTAATAAAGTTCTTAATAATAATTGTAATTTATTCCTACATCTAAACATTGCTTCGCTCCCTTATCACATTGACAGTCTTCACAGTCTAATAAGCTCTCTTACCACTCTTCCAATAGTAATTGGTATCTCTCAATAGTAATTGGTATCTATTGAATCAAGACTAAATATCAACGATTCTAGTAAAACTGATGTTAATATAAATGGTTTTACTATTATGCTCTTCTATATTTATGCTCAAACTTAAACTATTTTATTCGTAGTGATCTAATAATATACTCTCCGAAATACCTGGAATCTATCTTTGTTGAAATCGTCAATCCCCTAAAACAAAATATTATTGTTGGCACAATATATCGACATCCATCAATGAACTCTAATGAATTCATTACTGATCATTTTAATTCCTTGCTTGAGAGGCTTAGTTTAGAAAATAAACAAGTTGTCCTTATGGGTGATTTCAATATGGACTTGTTAAATTATAATGAATCGAAAGTTATCTCTAGTTATCTTGATACATTATGTTCTTATTCTTTTTTCCCTTCTGTAATTCAACCTACACGTATAACTGCTACATCTAAGACACTCATTGATAATTAATTTCAGGCAATCTTACAATATCGATTTCTGATCATATGGCACAGTTTATCTGCATTCCTTGTCTTTCTTCCAAAAAAACTAAGGAGAGAAACTATTCAGACGAACCTTCCAAAATTTCGATAATAAAAAATTTATTAAGGATATCTCTAATGCAGACTGGCAAATACAAATTACAAATAACAATAATGTAAATGAATCATTGCACTATTTTTTTAAAACTTTTAACAAAATTCTTGATCAACATGCACCCTATAAAAAACTAACTGCTAAATAAATCAAACTTAAATCAAAACCTTGGATCACCAATGGAATTTTAAAATTAATATCTATTTAAAACAAACTATATAAACAATATATAAAAGCAAAAAATCATAACATTAAAATTCATATTTTTAATAAATTTAAATGGTACAGAAATAACATCTGCAATTTACTAAAACTTTCTAAAAAATCATATTACATCAACTTTTTTAACAATAATCTTTACAATGTAAAAAATACTTGGAAAGGTATAAAAGAAATTATTAATATCAAACCTTCTTCCTTTTCCAGTAAATCTATTAATCTCAAATTTAATGGCAATACAATTTCAGACAGCAAAGCTGTATCAAACATATTTAATAATTACTTTGTAAATACTCAACGAACACTGTTAACAAAAATTTGTTCACCTAAATGTAATTTTTCAGACTATTTAAATAACCCAAATATTAACTCCTTTTTTATAGATCCAGTCACTGAAAATGAAGTATCAAATCTTATAAAAAGTTTACAAAGTAAAAAAAGTTTAGGTATCAATAGTATTACCATGTTTCTTCTCAAACTTGTTTCCCATATCATCTCAAAGCCTCTCTGTACAATGATAAATAGCTCTTTTGAAAATGGACTTTTTCCAGATGTCTTTAAAATAGCTAAAGTTATTCCACTTTATAAAAAAGGCTCTAGAACTGACCACACTAACTATCGCCCAATTTCACTACTGTCAAACATCAGTAAAATATTTGAAAAAGCTATGCACAACAGACTTTACAACTTTTTAGATAAATATCAATGTCTTTACAAACACCAATATGGGTTTCGAAGCAAGCATTCCACCACTCATGCACTTATTGAAATCACTGAGGTTATCAAAAAGCTCTTGAAAATAAGCTTTTTGCTTGCGGTGTGTTTGTTGATCTACAGAAAGCATTTGACACTGTTGATCATTCTATTCTTCTAAGTAAACTGGAATACTATGGTATTAGAGGAATTTCTCTCCAATGGTTTACCTCATATCTTTATAATAGGTTTCAATTTGTATCTATTAACGGTAACACATCTTCTTTAGTAAAATGCACTACAGGTGTGCCTCAAGGCTCTGTATTAGGACCATTGCTTTTCCTTGTTTTCATTAATGACCTTAATTTATCATTAAAATATACAACTTCCTACCATTTTGCTGATGACACTAACTTACTTTTAATTAATAAATCATTAAAAAAAATAAACAAATATATTAATCATGATCTATCTAATCTAATTCAATGGCTTCAATCTAACAAACTGTCTCTGAATACTAGTAAAACTGAAATTATTATCTCTAAATCAAAACAATCTAAAATCAGTAAACACCTTAATTTGATTGGTCAAAAAATCAATCCAGTTATGTGACTAAAGTATCTTGGTATCAAAATTGACTCAAATTTAACTTTTTCTCAACATCTTAAGGACTTGTCAATAAAACTATGTAGATCGAATGGGATGTTAGCTAAAATTCGTCATTATGTCAATCTTGAAACGCTTATCAATATATACCATGCCATTTTTGGATCACATCTTAGGTATGCGTGTCAAGTTTAGGGACAAAAGAAATTTTAAGATTATCCAACTTACAAAACAAAGCATTAAAAATAATATATTTTCAGCATTATCAATCTAACTCCGATCATCTTTATTTTTTATCCAAAAAACTAAAAATTGAAGATCTAGTTCAACTATTAAATTGCCATTTTGTCTTTAATTATAAAAAAAAAGTCTACCCAGCACATTTACAAACTTTTTTACTGTTAGAGAAAGCTGTTGCTAATCATCTACGATCTGCTAATAGCTATAATCTTCATGTACCAAATCATTCTTCTGTAAAATATGGTCTAAAATTCATAAAATACTAAAGTGTAAAATCATGGAACAGTCTACCGTCACCATTAAAATCAATTGACTCAATTACTAATTTCAAAAACTGTCTTTTTAACTATTTTTTAGCAAGATATTATACCTGAAGACTCTGAAATATGTTGTTATGCTTTTATTATTACTACTTTCTTGATGCATACTAGTTTTATTATTAACATTTTGTTCTCATATTTTTATTGTTATTATTAGTATTGATATTAATAATATTCTTCTATCTTTATTAGTAAATTGTTATTTTTATTTATAACATAATAAGTATTATTATTACTTTTTTAATTTTTTCTTAAGTTTATTTACTACTTATACTATGTAATTGTTATTACCACTATTATTGTTATTATCTAATATTGATTGTATAATATCTTTATTATTATTGTTAGTGTTATTACTAATAATATTCCTTTTCATCGTCATTTTATTATTATTGTTAATATTATTTCTATAATTATTATCAATACTATTATTATTGTTATTATGATCACTTTTATTATAATGTTGCAGGTTTTTAATTTAGATTAGTACTTGTACTATTTGTAAAAGTCCTTGAAATTTTACAACTTATTTCAGAATATATTAAATTGAATTGAAATTGAATTGAATTATATATATATATATATATATATATATATATATATATATATATATATATATATATATATATATACATATATATATATATACGTAAATGATATTAGTTGGAAAATCGGTAAATTAAAAAAAAAGGCTGATGCCGATACTGATTGCGATCGTGAAAAAAGTGGCTGATTAAGCCAATTACTAGGTA